TCTTGGTGTCAGGAAATCTTGTCAGAAGTGATTCATGCTGATAGAAGAGAAATAAGGCAGAAATAAGGCAGCAGACAGAAAAGACAGTTAGTGCTCTGGATTGAAGTACACACTATAAAGGGATATGCTTTGTTAAAATTTCATGTCTGAGGTTTAACACCACTTTAAGGCACACTGGAATGGAGCACTGGGGTGCCGTTTCCAAATGAATAGTACTGTCATGCATCGCATCACAGATAGTGGACTATCGTGTATTGCAGTTAACATGTTTTACCCCTCATTATTGCCATGCACAGGTCTGAATGTGGCCTAACAGATTATCTTTGTGAATACTAATTTACTTCAAGCGGAGTTCCAGCCATTTTTGTGTTTATTAAAAGTCAGCACAAAAACTATAGCTGCTGACTTTTAATAAACACACACTTACCTGTCCCAGAGTCCAGCAAAGTTCTCACCCATGCCGTCCCTTCTCCGCTTCTCTCCTCCACGGCGCCGCCATCTCAGCTGAGGGCACCAGGCTGTGACAGCTTGCCCACTGTGCATGCATGATTTGTGCTGCATATCCTAATAGGTCTGGCATGCTCCTGGGACCTGTGAAAGTTCCCAGGAGACTGTGGGAGGGAGAAGGGGGCTGAACGTCCAGCTCACTTCGCCACAGCGAACTGAGCCTGAACCAGAAGTGGGAGCTGGTGCCAAAAAACTCCCCCCCCAAAAGGTGCCAAATATGGCAGTGGAGGGGGGGGGAGGAGGAGGCAAATGAGTTGAGCTTCCGCTTTAAATAGACCCGGGTATCCTTAGTAAATTGTATTATTGCCTTGTTTTGGCCAGTAATCAAAAGTATCTAACGTACAAAAAGATTGCTTAGCAAAATGTGCAGTTACAGCAAAACTTCAGAAAACCAGCTAAACACACAGTTTACATATATATACGTATATATATATATATATATATATATATATATATAGTGATGTGATAATTTCTTTGCCCATTTTTCAGTGTATACTTCTGTTATGCAGTGTTTGTTTTTGCCCTTTTCCAATATGGCTGCTATGCTCTCTGGGCACTGAGGATGAGGTCATCAGAGAGAGCACTTGTAGAAAAGAGAGTGGTGTGGATTTCCAGAGAGAGAGAACTCAGACTGTAAGTGTTGCAGCCTCCCCTCACTGAGACATGGAGAAAAGACTGTTAATGCTTTAAATGTTCATGTGATTTCTTCAATACATGGACTTTCATATACAATGCTGTGTGAATTACTGTCTATGTGGACGATACATTTCTCAGTTGGGATTTCACTTGTTATCCACAAGCCCCAATTGAGTGGAGGCACTAGCGCTTGTTAGAGATCTTGTCCTGATCACACAGATTATAAAGACTCTGCTCCTAAATACTATACAGGTGGCACCATCATACCCCAGTAGCCGCAAAGAGTGTACAAATAGTGCTACATATATACGGTTTCATCCATCAAAATATGTGTTAACATGTAGAGCCAGCTGTACAGTAGATATAAAAAGTCTATATACACCCTTGATAAAATGTCAGGTTTCCATGATGTAAAAAAATGAGATAAAGATAAGTTATTTCAGAACTTTTTCCACCTTTAATGTGACCTATAAACTTTACAACTTAATTGAAAAACAAACTGAAATGTTTTAGGAGGGAAGTAAACATAAAAAAAACTAAAATAATGTGGTTGCATAAGTGTGCACACCCTCTTAAAACTGGGGATGTAGCTGTGTTCAGAATGAAGCAATCACATTCAAAATCATGTTAAATAGGAGTCAGTACACACCTGCCATCATTTAAAGTGCCTCTGATTAACCCCAAATAAAGTTCAGCTGTTCTAGTAGGCCTTTCCTGACATTTTCTTAGTAGCATCCTACAGCAAAAGCCATGGTTTGCAGAAAGCTTCCAAAGCATCAGTGGGATCTCATTGCTAAAAGGTATCATCAGTCAGGAGAGGGGTACAAAAGAATTTCCAAGGCATTAGATATACAATGGAACACAGTGAAGACAGTCATCATCAAGTGGAGAAAATATGGTGCAACAGTGACATTACCAGAACTGGACGCCCCTCCAAAATTGATGAAAAGACGATAAGAAAACTGGTCTGGGAGGCTGCCAAGAGGCCTACAGCAACATTAAAGGGACTGTAGCAATATCTGGCAAGTACTGGCTGTGTGGACAACAATCTCCCGTATTCTTCATATGTCTGGGCTATGGGGTAGAGTGGCAAGACAGAAGCCTTCTCTTACGAAGAAAAACATCATATCCCAGCTAAATTTTGCAAAAACACATCTGAAGTCTCCCAAAAGCATGTGAGAAAATGTGTTATGGTCTGATGAAACCAAGGTTGGACTTTTTGGCCATAATGCCAAAAGATATGTTTTGGCACAAAACAACACTGCACATTACCAAAAGAACACCATACCCACAGTGAAGCATGGTGGTGGCATCATCATGCTTTGGGGCTGTTTTTCTTCAGCTGGAATTGGGGCCTTAGTCAAGGTAGCGGGAATTATGAACAGTTTTCAAATATCAGTCAATACTGGCAGAAAACCTTCAGAATTCTGCTAGAAAGTTGAACACGAAGAGGAACTTCATCTTTCAGCATGACAACGACCCGAAGCACACATCCAAATCAACAAAGGAATGGCTTCACCAGAAGAAGATTAACGTTTTGGAATGGCCCAGCCAGAGCCTACACCTGAATACAATTGAAAATCGTGGGGTGATCTGAAGAGGGCTGTGTGCAGGAGATGCCCTCGCAATCTGATAGATTTGGAGTGTTTTTGCAAGGAAGAGTGGGCACATATTCCCAAGTCAAGATGTGCCATGCTGATAGACTCATACCCAAAAAGACGAAAAGATGTAATAAAATCAAAAGGTGCTTCAACAAAGTATTAGTTTAAGGGTGTGCACACTTATGCAACCATATAATTTTAGTTTTTTATTTTTATTTCCCTCAACCTAAAAGATTATAGTTTGTTGTTCTACTGAGTTGTACAGTTTATAGGTTACATTAAAGGTGGAAAATGTTCTGGAATTATTTATCTTTGTCTCATTTTTATACATCACAGAAACCTGACATTTTAACAGTGGTGTGTAGACTTTTTATATCCACTGTATATATGATACACTTCATGGCTGTTCATATGATGCACCTTTTTCCCGGTTCATTAATAAAGCTTTGTGTGTCACCTCTCTCCACTTTAGCCTGTCAATTAGCTGGGAAGTGATCCAGAAAGCAGTAAACCTGAGCTAGGAAGTACAAAAGGTGAACAAGAAGTAGCAAAAGGATTTTCCTTGCTGTACAGTCTGAGAGATGTGTAAAACCTAAGAATAACCCATCCAATTACAAATCGTTTTGCTGGTAAATACAACAGTAAACATCAGTCTACTCAAGTAACCATTAGACAAATCCATTCAGCACCAGACCCAAAATGCCATCAAATGGGGACCATGGTTAATGGTGATACCATATTATGAGACCAAAAATGACCAGCACCCCAAGCCAAACCTGAGGTCACCAGCTAAAAAGTAAAGGTGAGAGTGAAAAACCCTATTCCACCCTATTTGCACTTAAGAAACAAGAGTGGAGATGCTCATGGGACAGTTTTTAAGGGCTCACTACACATATCGGATCCCTGGTGAAGAGGCATTTTGGCCGGAGGATGTTAACATAGGGAGAGGCCATGCCTGTCCTATTCAGGTAATTTATCTGCCGAAGAGAGAAGGTGTGTTAGTTTATAATAATTAAGGAGCACTAGTAAAGGTCAATTTCAGACTGGTATGTTACCATACATGATTGTAGTCAGATTGCCAGTTATTTTGCCACTACTTGATCCCTTCAGACTGATAAAATGGGAACAAGTTAAAAACCAGATCCAACCATTTCTTCATTCATTTCCAGCACAATAGCCTCAACAATTCACAGTCTAAGCAGGGAACAATATTGGTTATTGTACACACGTCATATACAGTAAGGTGACCCACATACAACTAGATCTGTAGTTGAGCTACTTCCGTCAGATCATCCCCTGCAGCCATTACTTTTTGTACCAACTTCCCCTCCCTTTAAAGTGTAAGCTCCATGAGCAAGGCCCTCCTATTCCTTTTGGATTGAACTGTATTGTAATTGTACTGTCCCCCTTTATATTGTAAAGTGCTGCACAAACTGTTGCCACTATATACTGTAAATCCTGTATAATAATAATAATAATAATCTTTTATGCCAGTTATTCAATATTTGAGAAGATATCTGTCACCCTCAATGATAACCTCTGCAACCTCACTCACGTCACCTTGCAAAGATACAGTATATCTTCCCTCATTTCCCTTCCCAAACTTTCTCCTCCATTTCAGGAAAAGTCTTTTATCCCTCCACAACACCACTGTAGTCTCATCTTGCACCATATGTAGGAAAGTCACCTTCTCTCTCCCATTACACGTTATCATTTCTTATTTGCTCACCACTTCTTCCTTCCTTCTTTCTACGAACCCTTTCAAACTGCTCCATTTAAAAAATAAGGTAAAAATGCATACTTTTTTTAATACATTTTTGTGCGTTTAGGTGTGTTTTCTGGTTGCTTGACTCCCAGAAGGCACCTGTGAAACATGGACATGTGACTCAAAAAAGCAAACCAAAAAACACAACCACCATTGATGCATTTTAATGGGGAGGTGTATTTTTTGTGTACTTTTTAACCACTTGCCCTCTGGAAGATTTATCCCCCTTCATGACCGGGCCATTTTTTCATTTTTTGCCATACAGCGCTTCATTACTTTAACTTACAATTGCGTGGTCATGCAACACTGTACACACATTAAACTTTGGTCATTTTTTTCCCACAAATAGAGCTTTATTTTGGTGATATTGGTTTTTATTTTTATATTTATAAACAAAAAAGGCTGACACTTTTGAAAAGAAAAACAATATTTTTGCCTTTTTTGCTATAAAACATATCCAATAAAAAAAAAAAAAAAAAATACAATTTCTTAACCACTTCCCGTCCGGCCCGCTGTTTATAAACGGCAGGACGGGACACCTACAGGAGCGGGTTGCCGTCTCTAAACGGCACCTTGTATCTGAGGCTCGTGCGCGGCTCCTAGAGCGCGCACCTGCGAGCCCGATGATCGCCGAGTCCGACGGACACGGTGGATTACGTAACATGGTATGGGACCAATGAAATTGGTCCCATACCATGTGATCAGCTGTGTCCAATAAGGACACAGCTTAAGTGTAAACAAAAGCCGCATGGTGCGGCTTCCGCCTCCTTCTCCTCTCACGGAGTTGTCTGTGAGAGGAGAAACAGCGAAGAAGAGGGTTGTAGCTAACTGCCCTCCACCTCAGTGACACCTGATTGCCCCTAAAGTGTCCCTGATCGCCCCTAAAGTGGCCCTGATCGCCCCTAAAGTGGCCCTGATTGCCCCACGTGTCCCTGATCACCCCAATAAGTGGCCCTGATTGCCCCAACAAGTGGCCCTGATCGCCCCCCACAAGTGTCCCTGATTGCCCCCACAAAGTGTCCCTGATTGCCCCAAGTGGCCCTGATTGCCCCAAGTGGCCCTGATCGCCCACAAGTGGTCCTGATCGCCCACAAGTGGCCCTGATTGCCCACAAGTGGCCCTGATCGCCCAACAAGTGGCCCAGCAGTGTCCCTGATTGTCAGTGTCCCTGATCACCACATAGTGGCCCAGCAGTGTTCCTGATCGCCACAGTGTCCCTGATCGTCACAGTATCCCTGATCGCCGCAGTGGCCAAGCAGTGTCCCTGATCGTCACACAAGTGGCCCAGCAGTATTGCCGCAGTGGCCAAGCAGTGTCCCTGATTGCCACACAAGTGGCCCAGAAGTGTCCCTGATTGCCGCAGTGGCCCAGCAGTGTCCCTGATCACCGCAGTGTCCCTGATTGCCGCACAAGTGGTCCAGCAGTGTCCCTGATCGCCGCAGTGGCCCAGCAGTGTCCCTGATCACCGCAGTGTGTCCCTGATTGCCGCACAAGTTGTCCAGCAGTGTTCCTGATCGCCACAGTGTCCCTGATTGCCGCACACAAGTGGTCCAGCAGTGTCCCTGATTGCCGCAGTGTCCCTGATTGCTGCAGTGGCCCAGCAGTGTCCCTGATCGCCACACAAGTGGCCCAGCAGTGTCCCTGATCGCCGCACAAGTAACCCAGCATTGTCCCCGATTGCCGCACAAGTGGTCCAGCAGTGTCCCTGATCACCACAGTGGCCCAGCAGTGTCCCTGATCACCGCAGTGTCCCTGATTGCCGCACCAAGAGGTCCAGCAGTGTCCCTGATCGCCGCAGTGGCCCTGATTGCCGCAGTGGCCCAGCAGTGTCCCTGACCACCACACAAGTGGCCCAGCAGTGTCCCTGATCACCGCATTGGCCCAGCAGTGTTCCTGATCACCACACAAGTGGCCCAGCAGTGTCCCTGATCACCGCATTGGCCCAGCAGTGTTCCTGATCACCACACAATTGGCCCAGCAGTGTCCCTGATCCCCACATTGGCCCAGCAGTGTTCCTGATCACCACACAAGTGGCCCAGCAGTGTCCCTGATCGCCGGATAAGTGGTCCAGCAGTGCCCCTGATCACTGAAGTGTCCCTAATCACCGCAGTAGTCCAGCAGTGTTTCTGATTGCCACACACCCAGCAGTGTCCTGAGCAGTGTCCTGTCATTGCAGTGGCCCAGCAGTGTCCCTGATCGCCGCAGAAGTGGTCCAGCAGTGTCCCTGATTGCCGCAGTGTCCCAGCAGTGTCCCTGATCACCGCAGTGTCCCCGATTGCTGCACAAGTGGTCCAGCAGTGTCCCTGATCACCGCAGTGTCCCTGATTGCCGCAGTGGCCCAGATCACCACACAAGTGGCCCAGCAGTGTCCCTGATCACCACACAAGTGGCCAGCAGTGTCCCTGATCGCCGGACAAGTGGTCCAGCAGTGCCCCTGATCACCGCAGTGTCCCTGATCACCGCAGTTGCCCAGCAGTGTTTCTGATCGCCACACAAGTGGCCCAGCAGTGTCCTGATCATCGCAGTGGCCCAGCAGTGTCCATGGTCGCCGCACAAGTGGTCCAGCAGTGTCCCTGATCGCCACAGTGTCCCTGATTGCCACAGTGTCCCTGATCGCCACACAAGTGGCCCAGCAGTGTCCCTGATCACCGCAGTGGCCCAGCAGTGTCCCTGATCACCATACAGTGGCCCAATCAGTGTCCCTGATCACCTTACAGTGTGCCTGTTCATAAAGTGTCCCTGATCTCTGCCACACCAGTGGATCCTGTTCACTGCCATCATCTGTGAGGAGAGAGATCCAGTACAGCTAACTGTGAGTAATTTTCAGCCTTTGCACAGAGTTTACACACACTCACAAAACATTGCCAGCCACCTCACTGTATCTCTGATTTTTGCCCAACAGTGACTAGTGTGAACCAACTGCAGCCAGATATCTGTCCCTCACTGCAACACCATCCTGATCACTGCCATACCAGTGGGTCCTGATCAGTGTAAAAAATATGGCCAAAAGATCATATACAAAGCGAGGAGGCATTTCAAATTCTGAGTATGACAGATGAGAGTGACGGAGAACTTAAAACATACCTTGGGGTGTTTGCTTTCCAAAATGGGGTCTTTTTATGGATAATTCCATTGTCCTGATGCTCCAGGACCTCCAAAACACAGCAATAGGTAGTTAAGAAATTAGATGTGCGATCTTTGCCCTTAGAACGCTAACAGGTGCTTATTGGATGTGGAACCCCTCTATGTGGCCAGACTGTGAAAAAGTCTCACACATTTGGTATCACCATATTCAGGAAGAGTTAGAGAATGTGTTTTGGGGTGTAATTTTAAGTATGCCTATGCAGTGTATTAGAAATATCTCATAGATTGACAACTTTGTGTAGAAAAAAATACATTTTCATTTTCTTTTCGTATTTTCCAAAAACTTGTGGCAAAAAAATGAAGTCGTCAGAAGACTCTGCATGCCTCTTAAAACATACCTTGGGGTGTTTGCTTTCCAAAATGGGGTCATTTTGTGGATAATTCCATTGCCCTGATGCTCCAGGACCTCCAAAACGGCAATAGATAGTCAAGAAATTAGATGTGTAATTTTTGCCCTTAGAACGCTAACAGGTGCTTATTGGATGTGGAACCCCTCTATGTGGCCAGACTGTGAAAAAGTCTCACACATTTGGTATCGCCATATTCAGCAGGCGTTAAAGAATGCGTTTTGAGGTATCATTTTAAGTATGCCTATGCTGTGTAATAGAAATATCTCATAGATTGACAACTTTGCGTAAAAAAAAATACATTTTCATTTTCTTTTCACATTTTCCAAAAACATGTGGCAAAAAATGAAGTCTTCAGAGGACTCCCCATGCCTCTTAAAACATACCTTGAGGTGTTTTTCTTTCAAAAATGGGGTCATTTTGTGGGTAATTCAATTGTCCTGGTGCTCCAGGACCTCCAAAACTGTAATAGACAGTCAAGAAATTAGATGTGTAATTTTTGCCCCTAGACCGCCTAAGGGTGCTTATTGGATGTGGGGCCCTTCTATGTGGTTAGGCTGTGAAAAGTTTTACACATGTGGTATCGCCATACTCAGGATGAGTAGCAGAATGTGTTTTGGGGTGTAATTGCAAGTATGCCTATGCCGTGTGAGAGAAAGAACTTGTTAAATGACAACTTTGTGGGAAAAAAAAAATAATTTTTTTTACTTTCATCATTTCCTTAAAAAATTGGCAAAAAATGACAACTTCAAAAAACTCCCCCCATGCCTCTCATTAAATACCTCAGACTGTCTACTTTCCAAAAAGGGGTCGTTTGGGGGGTATTTGTACTGTCCTGGCATTTTAGGGCCCCAAGAAATTATATAGGTAGTCCGTGCATCAGGATTGATACATTTTCAAATATATCAAATATATATACCGTGGTCTGTGGACTCTATAACTTTCACAAAGACTAAATAATACACACTGATTTGGGTTATGTCTACCAACAAAATGTAGCACAATGGATTTTGGCCTAAATTTATGAAGAAAGTATATTTATTTGCAAAATTTAGTATCAAATACTAAGAAAAACATGTTTTTTTTCAAAATTTTCAGTCTTTTTTCTTTTTTCTAGCAAAAAAAAAAAACCCCAGTGATGATTAAATACCACCAAATTAAAGCTCTATTTGTTTGAAAAAAAAATGATAAGAATTTAATTTAGATACAGTGTTGTATGCCTGAGTAATTGTCATTCACAATGTGAGAGCGCGGAAAGCTGAAAATTGGCCTGGACAGGAAGGGGGTAAAAGTGTCCGGACAGGAAGTGGTTAATAAATTTAGGCCAAAATGTATTTTGCTACATGTCTTTGGTAAAAAAAAAAATCCCAGTAAGTGTATATTAATTGGTTTACATGAAAGTTATAGCATCTACAAATGGTGGTATATATATTGGAATTTTTTTATTTATATATATATTTATTTTATACTAGTAATGGCAGCAATCAGCGACTTATAGCAGGACTGCGGCAGGCATTCGGACACTAACTGACACTGGGTGGGAACTGACTAGCTGTCACTGACATCTCCAGTTACACTAATACAGTGATCCGTGCTAATAAAAAGCACTGACACTGTACTAATGACACTGGGTAGGAAAGGATTAACATCTGGTGTGATCAAAGGGTTAATTGCGTACTGCTTTGTGCTTCTTGTGTGCTCTTTTAGTAGGGGATGGCCTGCTTTCTATCTCTCTGCTTTGCAGAGAGATGGAAAGCAGCACATCCCCGCTGACAGGAGAGCGGGTTGTTTATACTCACAGATCTCTCCCCTGCCAGCTGCTCCACCGATCACCGAGCCCTGGCAATGATTCGCTGGTCAAGACCCAGTGATTGACACCATCGGGAGCCAATGATGGCATGGGTAGCGTGCACTCCCTACCAGGAAATGCAAAATCACATATATTTACGTGACTTTGCACAGCACGGCAGCCCTGTAGCAGTACATCTGCTGGGCAAGTGGTTAAACATGCACCAAAAATGCAACCTGCGGGACTTTTAAAAATGTACCCACAGAACATAGGTGTGAAGAGTTCCATTGAATTTAAAGGGATACATTTTTCACTCATTTCATGCATCTAGATAGATAGAAATACAGATACAAAGATAAAATGATGTGGCTATATCAAGTGA